AAAAAGGAGTCAGACAGGGCTGCCCACTCTCATCCCTGCTCTTCATATTATCACTAGAAGCATTATTAACGCAAATTAGACAGAACCCAGACATAAAAGGATTAAAGATTAAGAAGGAAGAAGATAAGTTGCAAGCGTTTGCGGATGATATGATTTTTTTCATTGAAGAACCAATAGAAAGAGGACAAAAATTGATGAATGAATTAGTACAATTTGGAGCAGAAGCAGGACTAAAAAATAATAGGAAGAAAATGAAATTAATGACTAAAAATTTAACAGGAAAACAGAAATTAGAACTAGAAGAAGTTATGGGACTACAAGTGATAAAGAAAGTTAAATTTTTAGGCATATGGTTGACAGCACATTGTAAGACACTAAAGGAAAACATTATGACAAATTAATGCAACAGGAAAAGAAGGATTTAGAAACATGGGGCAAACTGCAACTTTCAGTATTAGGCAGGATTGCTGCTATTAAAATGAATATTCTTCCAAAATTCCTCTGTATATTTCAGACGATTCCAATTAAAGTACACAAAAAGTTTTTTGGAAGAACTTAACAAAATAACTGCAAAATTCATCTGGCAAGGGGAAAAACCTAGAATAAACTTAAAAGCAATGCAGGATATGAAGAGCAGGGGGAGGGCTGGCACTTCCAAATTGGGAGTTGTATTATAGTGCAGCCTCTTTAGTATGGTTGAAGGAATGGGTGAATTTAACCAATAAGAGAATATTAGTCTTAGAAGGCCATGACTTACAGAGGGGGTGGCATGCTTTTTTATGGGATATTGGGAAAACTAGCCAGAAATATTTTCATAGACACCTAATCAGAGATTCATTGTTGACTAATTGGAAGAAAGTACGGAAAAAACACTACTTAAAGATACCAATCTGGATCTCAACAATGGAGGTGATGACCCACCCAAATAATCTGGATATTACTAAAATGATTAAATATAAGGACCTATTGGATACACAAGGAAATCTGAAATCGTGCCAAGATCTTCAAGATCAGGGATTAAAAATTGACCGCTGGGCATATCTTCATATTCAAAGCAGATACAAACAGGACAAGAAAGAATTTGGAATTAATAATAAACTCCAGCAATTAGATAAAATTTTATTAGGATCAGGCAAAAAAAAAATTATAATTATTTATTAGAGGTAGAATTAGAGGAAGAAATTGTTAAAGGGAACATGATAGCCTGGAGTAGGAATATAGGACGTAGTATCACCTTAACAGAATGGGACAAGGTCTGGGATAGAAATAACAAAATCACAAAATCAGTAGCATACAAAGAAAGTGTCTATAAAATGTTTTACAGGTGGCACCTTCCTCCTTCGAGATTAGCAAAGATGCACCCCAATATGAGTCTGAACTGCTGGAAATGCAAAAAAAAAAGAGGGAACTTTCTTCCACATGTGGTGGTCTTGTACAGAAGCTCAAAAATATTGGCAGAAAATTAGAAATTGGCTGGAGGAAATGACAAGAGAACAGATCAAATTTAAACCAGAGTCCTTTCTATTAGGGATCTTTGATAAAGAACTACCAAAAAAAGTGAAATATATAATAATACACATTTTGACAGCGGCCAGATTGGCTTTTGCACAGTGTTGGAAACAGCCTCATGTTCCATCAGAGGAGATGATTATTCAAAAAATTTCAAGTTGTGCAGAAATGGACAAATTAACCTTGGCATTAAAAGATAAAGACACTTCAATATATTATGACAGCTGGAACTGCTGGTACAAATGGATAGACCAAAGATAGATTTCACACTAAAAGGCAAAAGAAGATATGATAGAATCGTAGTAGTGATATACAGATATATGTAAGGATTAATTGTGTATATGGCATAAAATAAGGATAAAAAGGAGGTCTCACAAACTGTTGAAGATGAAAATGTTTTTAATTGTTTTCTATCTTTTTCTTTCTATTCTTTTTTTTTCTTGTTTTCTTTTTCTCTCTTGCATTTATATATGTGTTGGTCTATTTTAATTGTAAAATCAATAACGTGTATTTAAAAGAAAAAGAAAGAAAAGAAAAAAATAGAAAGAAACAAAGGAATAGAAGCTTATAGGTGTCAGGCACAAGACACCAGGAGCCAGGCTAGAGTTCATAAGCACTGCGAGTTTATTTCCATGCAACCTAGAGAATCTGAACTCCTAATAACCTGCGAATTAGCCCCAGATAAGAGTCAAGGGGGTCTGAGCTTAGGTAGGGACTCCAGGTTAATGATGCATTTGACCCCCACCCTTGGACTCAATCTAGTCCTCTCCTACATCATGTAGGACATAACCTCTGATTTGCTGAAAGATTTTTTAGTATTTAAAAGCGCACTTTATTCCTTCAATATCTGAGGTGGGCAGCTGTATAAATTAGATTAATAAATAAAATGTAATAAATTATATAATCACAAAACTAATATTTACCTTCAAAAATACAAACTCAGTAGTATTACATTTATTTAGTTGTTATTATTCGTTTATATATTTTTTTCTGTCAAAGTGTTGGCAGTATAGTTTAGCTGTTAACAGTTGGACTGTAGGGAATTATGTCCTGATATGTTCTTCCCTCTCATCTAATCTGGAAAAGATTAGTAGAAGTTATACCAACAGTAAAAGTTTAGCTTCCCATAAAGCTATTAAAACATATTTTTTATTTTTTATCAAATTATAGGCTGCCAATCTTACTACCCAAAACTCATGTCAGGCATTTCTGATGATTAGTTCTTTGCAATGTTGTACCTATTGGAAGGCATTAGTTATTGGAATCATTGATACACAATATTTTAATCAATTAAAAATGTCTACTCAAAAGATTGTTTTAAAATACCACATATTGAAATATTGTGTTGCAAGATGTTTGAATGTGCATTAGTCAACCATAGCTACAATTCAACTTCAAATTCCTGTTTAGAATGACTGCATTTCACACACGCACACACGCGCGCGCACACACACACACACACACACACACACAGGAAATTAAGTCTTCCATATCCTCAAAGATAAATTGGAGTGGATTGGGCTGAAAATTTCAAGTTACTTGCCAAGAAATAAAGAATATTCATTTGGTAATAAATGAATATCTATCTTTGGCAAAAGAGTTTACAACAATTTCTTTGGCCAGGAGTATTCTGTGGTATTCTTTCCTATTGAGAATTAAAAACAAGATGTCAAGATGGTCACATAAAAATCGTTAAGTTGATTCTAAAGCAAAATCAAATATAATACTAATGGGAATTTTTTTTTTCAAATTAACTATCATGTATACAATCTTATTTTTTATTGCATTTTACCTTTATACCAACAGACTATTTATTAGGAAAAAGAAGAAGCAATTTAACTTGTCCCCAAATTTAAACATTCTCAAAGAATGTATACAATTTTATCTATTGCCTACCAAAACGGGGCAAATTTTATCTATAGCCTACTGAAACGGGGCAAATTAATAATATTAATAGCATGTGCCTCCTTCAGATTTGAAAATGCACAGTAAGATAGACTATCTACAGCTCAAATCTTGCAGAAGTTCTAACTATCAATGAAAGTTAACATAATAAGGGTTAACAGAGAGGCAGTTTCTGTAAAGTACCTTTGTTGGAAGTATGTGTTTCAGTAGAGAATGTTTCGCAGAGACATTGGGTTTACAGAAACTGATTATTACCTGATGTAAAGATTCAATGGAAAATTAATTATATTTTCAGACAAATACAAATAAAATAAAAAAGACCTCTTTATATAGTTTTGAAACTGAACCCAGGATCATTTTTCTGGAAACTTTCTGTCTACAAATCTAATTTAATCTAAGATGATTAAAATAAAATACCACTGTTGATGGAGCAGGATGGAATTTTATTTGATTCCTTATTCATTCTTCATTTCTCTCCTGAAGCTCTGCTTTGGGGAGTTGATGGATCCTACAGAACACTGGAGGAAGTACTATTAGGGACAAAAGACTTAAAATACAGGCAGAAAATGATTTTTTTCCCTTCATTTTCACAGAGAAAAGCATTCCATTCTGCTCATACCATGCTGCCATTAAGCAGTCTAACCTCCAACCCGGCACTTGGAAATTAGAAGGGATTAGTTTGTATAAGAAATAATAATAAAGATAAAACTGTATATACAGTCCACTAAGCTCCTTATTTAAAAATAAACATTAAAAGTAAATGATTATTTAAAAAGTAAATATTCTGAAGTAGTTTGCATTAGCTTGAAAAAATTGAAATCAAAAAGGGATCTTTTCAACACATAATAATAACTCAAAATGGCACTTTACAGATATAAAGATTAGCTCCAATTTTAACTTTATAGAAATAATTCTATATTTACTTATCTTGGGGTAAATCTTATTTTGCATATTTGGGGTTCTGCATAGAAATGTACTGTGCTGGGGAATTGTATGAAGAAAAATTTGAAAAAAATGTTGGAAGATGGAAAATATATGATTATTGGATACAATGCAGTAGTACAATTTAGAAAAGAATAGAGATATTTTACTGATAAAAATCCATAATCCCTCTTATGACTTGGTTTGGTTTAGTTTAGTTTAGTTTAGTTTAGTTTAGTTTAGTTTAGTTTAGTTTA